GCAAGTCTGGGGCATGAGGAGGAGAGAGAGAGAGAGCAGGAGCTGAGGGGTTGGCCCTTTTATACCTGGCAGCGAGCATGCCAATCAGGTAGGACCGCCCACTCAATCTCCAGCAATCCAGGGACACAGACACAGACAACCAATGTGCTCCACCCACAGACTAGGTGGGGCCGTCACACCGTCAAATTATCATCACACATGACCAGACTTTTCAGTGATTCAAACAGTTTAAACAGTTTAATAAGCTTGATATCAGTTTAGATAGTTGAGGTGGCTGAAGAGAGAGCTGAGCCGCAAGGCGAAGCTCTCAATTTACCAGTCCATCAACGTCCCAACCCTCACCTATGGTCACGAGCTTTGGGTCGTGACCGAAAGAACGAGATCACGGATACAAGCGGCCGAAATGAGTTTCCTCCACAGGGTGGCTGGGCTCAGCCTTAGAGATAGGGTGAGGAGCTCAGACATCCGGAGGGAGCTCGGAGTAGAGCAGCTGCTCCTTCGCGTCGAAAGGAGCCAGTTGAGGTGGTATGGACATCTGGTTCGGATGCCCCCGGGGAGGCTTCCTCTGGAGGTTTTCCGAACTCGTCCACCTGGGAGGAGACCCCGGGGCAGACCCAGGACCCGCTGGAGAGATTATATCTCTCGGCTGGCCTGGGAACACCTCGGGATCCCCCAGGCAGAGCTGGAAAGCGTCGCCGGGGGGAGAGAGGTCTGGGACGACCTGCTCCGCCTACTGCCCCCGCGACCCGACCCCGAATAAGCGGAAGAGAATGGATGGATGGATAGTTGAGGTGGTTTTGTCTGAATGAGGCCGTGCAGAACACCATGTAAAAGGGATTTGTATCTGACAGAGCCCGTCTGGTGACATCGATAAGAAATAAAAATAACTCGTTCCCACATATTACGAAATTGTGGCCACGAGTTATTAATGTGTGGGAACGACATAATGATCACACGGTGTTTCATCGCAAGAGATCGCAGGATATTGGTGTAGTTCATTCCAAGGTTAAAATAAAATGAGATCAAATCAAAATGTTCCATGTTTCATGCAAGTGCACCCGTTAATTCAACAGCTGGTTCGACTGCACTGTGAAATTTGCTCCACAACTTCTCTTGTTTCTTCATATTAGTAATGTGAGGCCACGACTTAACTATGTCGTTCCCACGCATTAATAACTCGTGGCCACGATTTACTTATTTTTATTTCTTATCGATGTCACTAGATGGGCTCCGTGGTATCTGAATAGGTCAGAAAAAAAAAACGCCGTCATGGTAACAGAAAGCTGAAGCAGCAACGTTACGTATCCGATGCTTGAAATGAGCTTCAGTGACTGATTCTGACAGATGTTNCATGAGCATTTCCAAAGAGAGAGTTGCCTGTACGCATGTATGCCTGCTGGACAGCAGCAAAAGCGTCATCATAACTTAAAATGATCAATTATCTCCGACATGGAGACAGGATCAATCAGAAACCAACAGGTGAGCTGTCACACAGTCATAGTCTATAACTGAAGGTAAATCATTGTTGCATAGCAACCATCCTACTAGTGAGTCCTGAGTTCTATCACAGCTGTCAGGATGTTTGTGTTCTACTGTTGGTACAGTAGTCGTTAGATTATCATCACACATGACCAGACTTTTCAGTGATTAAACAGTTTAATAAGCTTGATATCAGTCTAGATAGTTGAGGTGGTTTTGTCTGAATGAGGCCGTGCAGAACATCATGTAGAAGGGATCTGTATCTGACAGAACCCGTCTGGTGACATCAATAAGAAATAAAAATAACTCGTTCCCACACATTAGTAAATCATGGCCACGAGTTATTAATGCGTGGGAACGACATAATTATCACACAGTGTTTCATCGCAAGAGATCGCAGGATATCGGTGTAGTTCATTCCAAGGTTAAAATAAAATGAGATCAAATCAAAATGCTCCATGTTTCATGTAAGTACGCCCGTTATCCTTAATTCAACAGCTGGTATGACCGCACTGTGAAATTTGCTCCACAACTTCTCTTGTTTCTTCATATTAGTAATGTGAGGCCACGACTTAACTATGTCGTTCCCATGCATTAATAACTCGTGGCCACGATTTACTTATTTTTATTTCTTATCGATGTCACCAGACGGGCTCCGTAGTATCTGAATAGGTCAGGGAAAAAAAACGCCGTCATGGTAACAGAAAGCTGAAGCAGCAACATTATGTATCCCATGCTTGAAATGAGCTTCAGTGACTGATTCTGACAGATGTTGTGGAGAAACACTTGCTCTGCTTTGGCAGTATCCAATAAACCTTGAGGCCATCTTTGTTGGCACAGATCCACAATAATGGTCATTTGTCTTTGCACAGTTGACTTAACCCAGTAATGATGAATTAAAGGGTTTTATTATTTGACCCTCTAAACAATCAACAATGAGCATCAATAATGAAGACTAAACAGTACAAAATGTCCAAGGTGTAACAGCTGTGCATCGCTGTTTGGGCTAAAATTCAAAAAGTTATTCCCATGGGCTTCCAACTCATCGAGCTGCGTTTATATGCTTTGAGGTCTTCTAGTAAAGTTCCTGTCAACCATCTCAAATTCCAGCAAGACACATTCTGGTTTGTTGAAATTCAAATTTTATTATAATAACCTACCACACAGCACATGTGACTGACTGAAGACGTCACCTTCAGGTTTTTTTAAGTACTTCATACATCCCAAGTCAAACTGCTGATTCAGCAGTGGTCAGCAGGGTTTGTGTTGACTCAGCACTTTGTGTGTTTGGGTTTTATAGATTTCATATCCATTTACCCAACCACCTGTAGTGTGTCTGCAAATTATGCATGTTGACATTTCCAAAGTAAGTCAAACAAAATCAATGATAAATCTGACGGTGGATATTTTACAGATAAACAGAAGACCACTCACATCTGTCTGGGCTCCTGTAACTCGCTGTCTGGAGCCTCACTGAGCAAAGTAATGCAAAAACACACATCATATACAGCTCTGTAAATAAAGTAGTTGTTCTCGTTTTCCGCCAAAAGTTGGACCAAATGACTTTCAGCTCACAATATTAAGACTTGACCCATACAACTAAAACAGAAGAGCTCATCAGATTAATTTATTTGTACTCATCTGTCCATCGTGTATTCATGTTATCGTAGTTATGCATATCACATGCAAAAGAAATTGAAAGAGCTTGAAACATGTTGACAAGCAAAGTAATTCAGAGGAGGATGCAGCTGAAACCTGTGGAGAGTCCCTCTACAGATGTTGATGAAACACACTCCATGTATCACAGCTACGCTCAAGTTTTTTCCATTAAAAAAATCCCTTCCTGCCTTAGAATGGTTTAGCTGTAACTGTACACTGTGGCCTTGTCTAGAATGTTCAGATCTCTCTCCACACAAGCCTCCCTGACTTGCTGCAGCTCACAGACGACTCTACTCGAACACTTCAAATTACAACTTTGGAGCCTTTCATGTGTATGTAGATATTTTTGGTGCCTGGCTAATGCTGGTGCTCTAATCTGTGTGTCAAACCCACTACTAGTCTGTTGCTTCACCTCTGTTCTAACTGCTAGACAGGCTCCAGTCGTGTTGTTCACATTTGTGAACATGTTACGTGCTACACTGCGTCCTGATTGACTTCACAGAGTAACATAAACAGTGCTGAAGTCACAGGACTACTTATAACTAATGTCTACTTGTTTAGAGGAATACAAACGGCACAACAGGTCTTCCCAAATGTTGAATGTTGTACAGGAACAGACAGATGAAATGATTGACAGCTGATGAGTGAAAAAAATTTTGACCGACAAACTCAACACCAAAAGTGGAAACACTGTTTCCACAAATACACTCAAAAAGGTTCTGTTTGCGTTTGAAGAATGGAAACCTGCACACGACTGATGCGGTATTGTTATTAATTGATACAAGAGGAGAATTTCAATTTCAACTCAACCATAAACATGCGAACTAAACACTGCTTAGTGAACTAGATAGTGTGGGGGGAAAAAAAGCAGATAACCACCTCATTAAACCGCTTAGTATATTTTATGAGAAGTACGGTGTCAGTGAAGGTCCATACAGGTGTTGCAGCTCTGATCCCAGCCAGTAGCTTCGTCCGAGGAAGCTGCTCACAGGAGGCCGAAGAAATCAAAACATGTAACAAGTGCGAAGAGGCAGACATTGTTCAGAGCACATCTGAAGTTATGCTTGGTGATGAAAACACTGTTGCACTCTATGATGAACTCCTACAAGTAGAAGTCCAAACTGTTCAAAGTCACAGGAAACACGAGGAGAGAGGAGAGTTATCAGCTCCAGGGTTTACATGGAATGTCCTTGAGTAGAAACTTACAGTCCAAAATCATAACCAAGAGATGATGATGACGATGTCTTATGTGATGTCCTTCTGTCTGGGTGGCCGGTGAATGTTCCTGACCACACACTTCACCATCCACTCGATGCCTTCGTTCACTCCATCCCTGTGAAAGGAAGATGTGTTTTTTCACTACAATTATGTTACTGGTTCATCAAGATAGACGGCTGTTAGTGCTAAGGTACAGTTTATGGCCAGAACTAGGGGTGTAACAGGACACAGTCGTCACTAAAGAGTCAGTACAGGACATATGGTTTGGAATGTCCTGTGAACCAAGCAGTTGCTGTTAGCAGTCTGTTTGTTCTGACATGATTGCCGTCATGGAGTGAAGACTCTAGAGCACAAGCTTCATCTGCCATGCTTGGCAGTGCACTAGTTCTTATCCTCCAGCTGCAGCATGCCACCTGGGTTAGTACTGATAGCTGGACAAGCATTGTGCTAACTGTACTAAACATGTACCATGTGTTAGCTCACTCTACATGCTGCTTCAGCTCCAATCAGCCAGATGTTTCAGCTTCTCTGCTCAACCAGCTTCCATGTGGAGCTCCCACTGAATGGAATCACCTCGTTCACTTTGTCCAGAACATTTCAGTAGTTTTTTTTCAAACAAAGGGCAGTGCTAGTTTGTGCAAATGTCACTGATGGCTTTAATGGTTGATTTAAGGTCATTACAGACATACTGCACTTGTCTTAATGGACATTTATGATTACATTTAGCTTGTCCTTAATAAGAATACACAGCTTAGAGGCTTTGCTTACTGACACACCTGAGTGCCTTAACTGTACGAATTAAGACTAATTAGACACTGTCTTTTTAAATAAACGATCTGTTTCCTCTGCTGTACCAAAAACATACCAAACCATGATGTTTGTGTGCCTACCCCTAGTTAGAACAGAAAATAAACAGATACAAACAAATATTTCCTGAGGACAGAATGAGAGTTAAAGCATTTAGCAGAACATTATGGAATTATTACATAACTCCAAGCTCTGGGCAACATACTGTAGTAGGAAGTGAAAACACCTGTTACAGTTTAGTGACCTGATTTCTTGCATGTAAAATCTGACTTGTCACCAGTATTTTCAGTTTTTCTTAAATGTCTGTGTCCAAACAAACCTTCCAGAAATACTTTCACTGTTTGGCTTTCGCTGCCCAAACTGAGCATGTGCTGAACCTGGTTCTATTTGACAGCAGACCGGCACACACAGTGCCATTTACCACAGCAGCAGTCTTACCCTGTGAGGGCAGTACAGGGCTGGACTAAGCAATCCCTCTTGCCGATCTTCGGGGCACAGTCGCTGAAGGCTGTTTTTATGTCCGGCACTGACAAACAGTTCTGAGAACAGAGAGCAGACACAAACCATGACTGAACACATCCACCCCAGGGAGGCAGCTAATTACTCTTACTTCTAATCCGTTCCCATAAATATTAAAACTATTAACATTCACCGAATTTTGTAAATAAAAAACAGAAACATTAATAGAAAACAGTGCAAAGTATCCATGAGAAGCCCTGAAGTGAACCGTTCTGCTAGTAAAGTCCAAACAAGAGCGCAAAACCTAAAGATTTTTAATATATTATGAATAAAACAGAAGCTGTTTTAGAATTTTTTGAATTCTGAGAATTACTGAAACAAATGCTGAAGGAAACACTATCTTCATGTGGATGGAAGGCCAATACATAGGAAGCAGTCTGTGTCCATACCGGTACATCTTGCTTGTTGGCCAGCACCAGGAGTGGAACGCCTTCTAAAGCCTCGCTGCTGATCATTTTCTCTGGGGGAGATGAGAGTTCAGTTACTGATTCAACAATCACAGCTAAAGCAGGCAAAAACCTGGAAGCCTGAATGTCATTATTTCGCAGGAATAAAGTCACAAACCACTTTATACAGAGAATAATAGGAAAAACACTACTCACCAAAGGCCTCCTTTGATTCTGACAAGCGTGCTTCATCAGTTGAATCTATCACATAGATCACTCCGTGGGACTCAGCATAGTACTACATTTAAATACGAAGAATACAAACAGCACATCAGAGTAGGCTTCTGGGCTGAGAGAACCAACACATCCATACCATGATGATACGGGGTGGTACGAAAAATCCAAAAGGTCCTGTTCTTATAACTAAACATATTATGACTGGATGAAGTACAGGATTACATGTTCTTGAGAGTCCATCTGTACTGCAGTTACTATTTTTGCCTGAAAAGGCAGCTGGTATAAGGAGTCAGGTATGCAGGCTTGTGCAGGTGTGCAGCACTAAACAGTCTCATACAGTCAGGGTTAGCCAGCAGGAGTAAATGTAGCAGCCAGTCACTGCCTGTAGTGCTGGAAGTTTTAACATTATTTCAGGTGACAGGTGCTTCCATTCGTTTGCTTGTCAGCTACGTTGGTGATATAGAAACAATGAGTCGGCGAAAATAAGAGCTTTTGTCATGTCAGACCTTTGACTTTGAGCATATGGCTCCTTCTGGAGACAGCAGGTACCACGACAAACCTCAGTATGTATCAACCTCCACAAAAGTACTCGCAAAAAAAATAAAAAATGTTTGTTCAATTTTGGCCTAATACCACACAAGGCGGAATGTTTTTTCAATATATCACACATTGTATGATGGGTGGTTCTGGCTGCCTTTCCTACCATTTCTTTTCACTATTTTACATTTCCCTTTAATCATTAAATGTGTTTCCAGTCACCGGTTTTATAGGCGCCTTTTCCACAAGTGAAAAAAGTGAAACTACTGGACATTTGAGGAAAACACTTAAATATCAAGTGTCAGACATGACTGAGGAGGTAAAGCTGATGTCTCTAAACACAATGCCACAAAGCACAAGTGAAACTGAATCCACTGAAGGGTGAGTTAAAGGGATCCCAAAGTATGAGGAAGTGAAAACATCCGATGAGCTTTGATTGGAGCTCTTCTAATACCATCCCCTTCTTGTCTCCTCTTCTTCCTCACCTGACAGGAAAACTAGCTCCACTGGCTGCTTATGCTGATGAAGCCACTCCTAATATTCATCTCACATAAGTGGACGGACACATGCGTTCATTTAAATTTTCTCTTGCCGACACTCTGGAGGGTTATTGTGCCATGATCTGCTGTTTGAGCTTCAGCCACTGCTTTAAAATGACAACAATTTAATTGACTGAGCTACTGCTTAGTATCCAGAATCTACGATGATCAGGTGCTTATCAGTGAACTCATACCTTCACATCCACGTCTCTTATTTGACACATGAAGCTGACAGGTGACGCTTACCTGTTCACTCTGATTACGT